CTAATGTCTAAGCGTTTGGCGTTTCCCGGAAGTTTGCTCCAAATTTCCTCGTTTACTTTGGGAACAAGCACATTGTCACAATTACTTGGCTTCTTATATTTCTGGAGAATTTCCTTTCTCTTCTCCACTCCACAGAATACTCTGCATTAAATTTCCCATTTACTAACTCAGCAAGGCCACTTGCAATTGGCGGACCTGTGTATTGTGAACAGCTCAGAAAAGAGCTGATTGCAGACAACAAACTAGCGTTGTCGGAGTCTCCATCCTCCATATCCTCGAGGACGGTATCCTCTATTTCATCGATATCACCACCTCCAAACAAACTTAAGGCATCTGCCTCACTTGCATCATGGTGATGCTGTGTATTTGCTTTCTCTGAAGCATTGTTTTCATCCTCCTCTGAGGACGTTGCGTTGGCTTTCTGTGAAGCCGTGTAAGATTCCCTTCGTTTGGATGTTTTTGTTTCATTGTCAGGAGATGACCGTTTGTGACTTACTAGCTCTTGAAGCAAGCTGTTTTCCGAATCGATGCTAGCTTTCATACTATTTAGCACAGCGATGAGAGTGCTAGACTCTTGCTCACGTTGCTTTTTTTCCGTGGTACTATCTTCGTTGTCTGTGGCGGCCATTTCCGTTTGAAAGAAAACAGAAAAACGCGGGAAAACACAAAGTGGCACAAAACCGCTTCAATACGGTGCAAAAAGGCAACAATATTACCTCTCGAGATCCCTGGAATTCAGGCAAAATAACAGGGAAATTCAGACGGTATAAAGACCCAACAAACCATGAAAAAACTTAGAAAACCGCGAATGGTTCTCTTCACTGGCGTAGTCGTAGCTAAGTTTGTTTCCAGGGTCTGCTTGGCGGGGAGTACACAGACCTTGGGAACGTCTTTCTACGGGCACTTTTCTTAGTCTTACCCGCGGGTAACGGGTCGAGTACAGAGCGGGACGGAAAGTATTTCTTGAAAGACTATAACTTTTCAAATAGCAGATCATTGGTAGGGTGCATCTTATTAAGACTGTGGCTTTTCGGTTGAACGAGGTCGCAGTCGAGTGAATATTTATTCATAACTGTCTGGTCAATATTTAACTCTTTTTATTTTAATTTTTTTTTTATGTTTTCACGTAGTAGCTTGTTGAACAGGTATAATACCATAAGTATAAATTATTTATAACGTTTGCTTGCACGAACATCGTAAGAAAAAAACATGGAATGTTTAACTGGATATCATATCACAGACTTCAGATTTACTAGAGTATTTCTCGTCTCTTTATAGCACATTATTTATTGCACCATCTTATTTTATTTGGCAAGTTAGTGCGTGACATCGTTGTGATTTCCTGGGTCGGGTTGTTCGAAAGCCGGTTAACGCTAACCTAGGATTAAAGGTTATCCGAAGTGAAAGATTTTCTTTTTTTTTTTAATCGTAAATTAATTACATACAATACTAACAATACTAACATTACCTACAGTACTTACATTACTTACAATACGAATATCACTTACACGGTTGCTGACATTACTTCCAATACACCCGTTACTTACGCTACTACTACTACTCACAATACTATCGCAACTTGCACTACTGATATTATTCACAATACCGTAGCTTACAATACTCATTATACGTATGCTTGACATTTATTACATATAAAATTAATAGTATGCTATATACAAGAATCTAAAAGCTCACGGATGCTCGAACGCTTAGTGACTCCGTGGATAGTTTGCTTTTTAGCAATACTTTGAACGCTGTTATGCTGTAGGATTCACTTTCTTT